GCTCATTTATAAAGGCCCAAGCCTGCACCTTGTCTGGACTGTAAACACTTGGCTGGGCTGGGTTGAAAGATGTCAATTGTTCTCACTCTTGATTAAGTCAGCTCTAAGAGCCATCCCTCCCCAGGTGACCAATTTTGCCTGCAGTAGTTTTGGAACACAATACTCTACATGGTACATAACTCTTAACATATTTTCCATACTTATATCCCACAATAACCATGACAGCCCGTGAGTTCTTAGCTTTCGACAGAGACCACACAGGGCCCCCTTCAGTAAAATATCACAAAGACGGAGATCACAGGGGAAACATTCCCATCTGGGCATGTCTAGCCAGGCCCTGGGGTATAGACTTGTAAGTATCTGTTGCCAACGTGGGGCACCTGGGTCGCATTAAGATTTCTGGCACTTTTAAAGCTTCAACTAGAGAGAAGCAGTGATTGAGTGATAGACCCTTGGTTTTGGGCTCAGGAAGGCCCCCTCCCTATCCCCTTTTTGTAAGAAGTATAAAATGAAAACACTTATAGGAAACAGATGTAGCAGCATATCTAATGTTCAAATGAAAAGTAAATGAATGCAGACAAAGCAAGTTAGGTCACAGACATCCAATTAATTTGCTTACAAAAGACTGCTAATTGCTTTCCTTGGACCCAGTTCCAAAAATCTAACGTGCATCCAACTCTGCCATCTTTCTCATCATCTTAGCTTTATTTGGCTTTGCAATACGTAATACAACAGTTTGTTATACTTACAGCAGGGCTATTTATATTTGTAAATCAAACAACTGCTTCCCACACTAGTGGTCTTCTACAGCCTCAAAAAAAGTAGTCCTCCCCCTCCTAATATTTACTAACCTACCTCACATATTCCAGCAGTGATGTATGCTGTGCAGCCAACTCACATCCCAGCTGCCACTTTTTTGGCTAGATTCACACTAGCCCCCCAAAAGGGGCGGGGGACCATTTATACTCAGGTTAGCTAAACAGACTTACAAAATCAGGGAAGACAGGGTAGCTCTGCTTTTACCTAAGGTGAGCAGCTGGTTTTAAAACCCCAATGTCACATTCCATTCTTTCTACCTAGTGAAAAGCTTCCAGTACATGTAAATCTTCCTAATCCAAACTTCTACAACCAAATTACTTTGCTGATACCTATCAATGCAAATAGGAGGAGGACTATGAAATTAATTCTCTGTTCCACCCATGATAATGTAGCTCAAGTTGACATACCTTAGGCTGACTTATTGCAGTGTTGATGGGAGATGCTCTCCTGTTGACTTCCTTCACTTTTGTTGTCTGGGGTAGAGTACTGGGCTCCACTGCAGAGTGATCTGAGGTCAATTTGGTAGGTTGCACTAGACCTGCTAAATTGACCACTGTACACTGATCTCTGCTTCATTAAGTCAGGCTGTAGAGTACGTGTAGCCCTAGCCTTAGCCATACCTCCAGTCATCGATCACTGCAGTAATGGTTTTCTAGATACTCTGGGCCTAGTTCTGCTTTACCCTGCTCTGAGAGGCCATTTCTTGCCAGTCACTTACAAAATAAAAAATGGCACCTCTCAACATTCATTTTGTACTGGTATCAGGGGCTACAGAAGGGGCAGAGCAATGGAAAAATCAGACCCTTTATACACCAAAGATTAAAATGTAGCCATATGAATTCAACCTCACTGACCATGGATATTGTGACCGTTAGGGTTGGTTGTGCCAGTACAATGTCAGATGAGCTCGGACAGAGCTGGGTAAAACAGAAAGATATTTTGCAGAAGCCTGCATTTTAAAAACTATGTTAGAGCTAAATTCAGTTTGGTTTTTAAATGTGCTATAAATTGTACATGTATGCTTGTCAAACCTAAGCTTGTTCACAGATCCAGCATGTACTCTTTGGGAAACTTTCAGGCTGGGAGAACTTGGAAAAAAGAAACATTTGTACAAGAGGAAACTTTGTCAGCAACTTCCTTTACCTTCTTCTTCAGCTGCAGTCATGCATTTGAAGAGATTTCCATCCTCACCACTCTTTCTGCTGCAGTCAAGATTACTGCTTTAGACCAGTCTATTCCACGACAGTGTCTTTAAGCCCAACAGTCTAATTACAAGATCAAATAAAAAGAACTGATGGCTAAGATGGGCACATAGCCAGTGCCTCATTTGTAATGAAAGAAGTGCTAAGGCTCAAGCAATTAGGTGCAGGGGGCTCAGGCAATTTTTTTAACAAGTTTCATAACTGACGCAGCAAGCCTGGAGGTGCTGGGACTCAGCCTTGGCTCAAATTAGGTACACCACATAGTGGTTTAAACAAAATGTGTTGAGTGTTCAGCAAAATGGGCAGGAGATTTATTAAAAAGAACACAAAACATAAAAGGGTAAGTCAGCAATAGGACTAGCTGAAAGCTTACCTGGAATGAAAAACAAATTTCTAAAAAAGCCACTTTTCTTTAAAAGCAGCCTAAGAAGCTGATTTTTCCTTAAACAGCATGATCCAAGTGCCTTGCAATTTTTATTTATATAAAGAACTCATACTTCTGAGGAATGCAGTCTCTGGAAACGTTGCAAACCCTGGTTCTGTGTGAAGCTGCCCTACACAGAAAGAGCAGACCTGTTACAGAAATGCAAAATCCTCCTGTGCTCCTCACAGCTTTCAAACACACTATTGCTGAGTCACATGGAAAGATTATAGAAACTCTCATGACCTCCTCAGTTCTAAAGTTGTGGCTCTCTCTTTTCTGTAAGATCAACTGCCCTTTTCCCTTCCCACATTGGTGTGCAACAAATGTGAGGTTCTCAGCATGCTTCCTGCAACAACTCTCTCTCAGCATGGCTAAGATGGGTCAGGAAGGATGGCCTGTGGTTAGAGCACTAGTCCTAGGACTGGTGAGCTAAGGGACCAAGACCTTGCTCCAACAGATACCTTGTGTGACCTTCCAAAGAGCCAGAAAGGTTAGCACTGCCCCACTGCACTGGGTGCGGTGAGGAAAAGTACAGTAAATATGAGCAGGTGCTCAGCTACTACAGTAAAGGGGGCATTTCAGTAGCTGAAGAAGCAAAGGCAGATTCATAGCATGTTATCAGGGGGTGGGCATGGAGGAAAGAACTGTGTCTAAAATGAAACTTGCAGCATGCCTGGACTTAACTAGTGAGCCTTAATGGCAACCCTACAAGCAGCAGCTGAGATCTGCTTTCCCAAACCTTGCTGCCATTCCCCTGGGTTTCTTCCTACTTTGCCATGATCTGTTTCCTTCTGCCACTCACAGTACACCCTTCTCTCAGGGCCAGAATCACAGGAGCTGTCAGTTCCTGGGGTGGGGATGTTCCTTTCCATCCCTTCCCCTCTGTCCTATCCTCTGCTACCTCATTCCTACACTGCCTTGTTAAACCCACTCACCCAAGCGCTTCCTACATGCTGCTTAGCAGCCAATTGCAACAGGTAGGTGCTGGGGCAGGGTTAAGAGAAGAGCGCTGATTGCAGAGTCTGCTGGTGACCTAATATTTTCCTCCCATGAATTCAATGCCTGTAGCAAAGCTCCTAGGGCCTCTACACACCCCAGTTTCTTCCTTTTCCATTCTAAGCTTGGAAAAGGATTTCAGCTCATCCTCACACCCAGCTGTGCTTCATCAGTTAAAAGCAATTGAGCCCTGACTCTCCCCTACATGCAGGGTGTCACAGGGTTAATTGGCTTTCTCTCTACTCAGACCACATTGAGCAAGCACCTCATCATAATCCTAACTACATCCAGGATCTCTAAGCCTGGACACTGTGGACAGTGTTGGGGCAGAATGCATCTACCACTGCCTAGTCCCACAGTCACTGCCCACATATAATTGTTACATGGCTACAGAGCTCCTGTTTGTTTGTTTTGCACAAGGTGTTCAGACTCTCCTTTCAGACTCTCCATTCAACCCAGTCCTTGAGTGGGTTAGTCGCTAACCTCTTGGCTTAGTTCTGAAGTTTAACCAAAGGAGCCATTGAGGTCAGTATTTTTCCTATGGCTCCCTTAGCATGACTGATAGTCAACTCCCAGCAGTTTTCTTTTCATCTTTTTTGTTCTTGCTGTACAACTGGAGGCTCAGCAGCAGTTGCCCCAATCTCACGCTTCAAGAGTAGTCCTTTTGAAGGTCCCCCTCCCCCCCAGTTGCCTAGTGTCATGCATTCTGCCAGCCCAGGGAACAATGCCCCTCCCTAATGGGCCCTGAATAGGCTCATTGAGTCATTAATCTAGGTGGGAGTAGGATAAGGCCAATAATTAGACTTCATTTAGACCCTAGGCAAAAGTGTTTGATTCAATTCAATGGTAACTTAAGCTAATGCACACCCCTCCATAAAGTTATTTTGGTTCTGTAGGTTGAAGAGGAAGCATTTGTTCATCAGAATTGAAGTGTTTCATTTGCAAACTTTTTTGCCATCTGCCTTACCCACAAGGGTCAGTAGATAGATTCAAATCCCTGCAGTGTCATATGGTGCAACTCCACCTGACACACCCTTCCCTCCCCCAAACTCTAACCCAGTGGGGGCAGGGGAGAAGAGAAGAGGCTTGAAGTGGGGCAACAGGTAACTTCATGGCTGTGTCTGTGCTGGAAGAACCTTCCTCTCCCAGAGGTACTTAAGGCTCCTTTATATGGCTCTTCCACTCAGCTCCCTTTGTGCTGGGTGAAAAGTGGGAGCTAGAACCTCACCCCTTTTGAGCTGGAATTAAAGACTTTCAATCAAAAATCAGTTCTCTTGGTTAGTTTAGAGAGACTTGACCTTTTAGTAGACTAACTTGAGAGCTTAAGGTTTAATCAAAACGGGGCTCGCTGTCCCCTGCAATAACATTGCTCCATGAAGTGGACCAACACCACCATGCAATGGACAATCTTCCAGGGTTGTCCACAGTCTCCAGAAATTTAGAGATGTTTTATGATGAAGCCTCAGGAATATACCCACTCAAAAAAAATGAGCAAGCTGAAACCAGGCCCAATATTTCCTTGCAGAGCTATGTATTTAAATCACAAAGAGAAAGGGGAATTTAAACACTTGTTATTTATTGTATTGCACAGAGTATCTATGTACTATAGTAAAGGATCCACATTTCCCCAAAGTGTTGCAGCACACAGTCTCTTTACATAATGCGTAATTAGTGCCTTCTTTAAAAGCTCACAATCAGTTGCAAGTTTAAGCATTTCAGGTAGCAAATGAAGGAAAAGGCTAAGTTAGCTATACATACTGTCCAAACACTCAAAAATGCTGTTTACGAAGGACCGCCAATGAAGTCAAGCAACTACTTTGATACTCTATCTGCAAATGTAGACTTTGCAATAAAAACCAAATAAGCATGTATTGTAACCTTTAAAATTAAATACATTAATATTTTGCTTGTGTTACCTGTGTTTACACCAGATGGTCTCATCTATAGATTATTGGGCCAGATTAACTGGACTAAGTTGGTGTATGCAGAAGTAGAGCACCTGAGGCTCTGGCCCAGATTTAAACTGAAAGACCCCCAAGCAAGTTGCTCATATTTGAACACTAGGCAATAGTTTTAGCACTGAAGACCTAGTTACACTGCAGCTAAAATAAATCTTACTAGTTAAAAAGTAGGATTCTAGTAAGAATCCTACATGTAAGACAGCCTTGAGATACTAGAGACTTATGAACTGAAGAATTACGTCTCTTGTTTACAGACTGTCAATTAAGCTAATGATCACTAGTATTATCCAAGCAACAGTTAAAGTTTGATAGCTAATACTGGTATTAAGACATTTTTACAGTTGCAGAAAACTTTACAATTTTATCCTCTTGCTATAGGAGATGTTCACCATATTACAAAGCCCATGAAAAACATAAAAAAATATTTTAAGATTTAGAAAACTCAAAACTGCAAATACAGCTGATCTTTTAATATATATATTCTTCAGGTTGTTTTTTTTTTTTTTAAACAAATGTGTCATTTACAAAGAAGCAAAAAAAAAGTACAACTCTTCTAGGATTTGTTTTTGTCCATTACATTGAGGACCTCATCTAGAAGTGAGGGTCCCAGATCAAGCTGCAATGAAAGAAGGGAACCTGCAAGATCTGAAAGGGATTCTTCTGACTTAATCTCTGCCTTGGTTAGTTCACATGAAAGAGGACTGTCATCAAGTAGGTCAACTGTTTGCCAATCTGTGCATTGTTCAGAAAAACTGGATGAATGACTATTTCTGCTATTAGTATAATACGATGCAGAACCATTTGGCTCCCATAGGATGTCATCTTTGTACATTTCCCCATTCTCCAGCTGTTCGCTTTTCTCCTGCAAATTCTCTTCAATCACTGGCTCACAACTAAGCCTTGGATTCTTTGATGGCCCAAAGGAGTCCCGCTTTGAATTAAATGTCACTGGTGACAGTAAGGGCAACACAAGGGCTTGAGAACCCCCAATGGCAGGAAGGGAGATAGCATTTTTGAGCACTGGTGAAGGAGTTTCTGTAAACATGGAGTCAGAGGTGCTGTTTGCCCTTAAAAATTCATTATGTCCTAATTGACCAACTCTTGGTGTTCCTTCATTCCCAGGTAACAGCTCATAGTTTCCTTGCAAAAATGAGATGTCCCCAAACACATCATGTTGTCCCTCTTTCCCAATGTGTATGGTGTGACGAAAGTCTCCAAGTGGTGGACTGATCATATCAGGAGACAAAATATCCCTTAATTTGAATTTCTTCCCTTTCTTATTATTGGCAGCTTTCAGGTAGATGGGTGTCTTAGCTGGCATTTTGTTTGCCAATTCTGATGGTCTTTTATAAAAAAAGCAAGCCACTTATAAGAATGTGTTTTTTCCTCCAGCAGGCCTTCAGTGTTATCTTTGTCACATTATTAACTTGGATGCCTCTCCTACATAAGGTCCATTTCTTCTGGGAAAGGAAACTGGGAATTCAGAAAGCTAAAGAACTCCAATACAAAGCCTTCCAAGTTTAAGAATGACAGTCCTTCAGGTGAGGAATGGGTGACCAAGTATTCTATTACTTCCAAAATTCAAGAAAACCTGTATGGGAAACAAAGCAAGTTATTAACTTACTTGTTCACTAAGTCTTGCTTTTACAAAAACAATAATGGTACTGAGTTGCAGATTAGATTTATGTCGCTTCCCCTCATTAAACAGAATAAAAGAGTTTACTCTAACAAGGGTTAGCTAAACTCTTCCTGACTTTATAGTTTTTCAAGTCAGAATTCTTACATGTAGTTACTGGCCACAGTTCATGTGGTAAACTCACTATATCATTTTCTGTCAGTCATCAACTGGAGACATGATATTCAAATGCTTCTACAAGGACATTTTAACACACCAAGCTTTTCAAACTAGACCCCATCCATTTTAACAGAGGCCTATACATATTAAATATTTGGTAGGTCTGAGAAATTTCAACATTACATTCATACAGCCAAGATTTAAAAAAAAGCACGAGCGCCAAAGGCTATGGCTTACAGCAAATGGCACAACTGCATCACTGTAAACTCTAGTGTAGCCACTCCAAGTCCAAGGAAGAGAGGTCTCCTCTAGGGATGTTAGATATCATGTAGTTGATTAGTCATGGAACTGCATGAAGTCTTGAAGCCAGTGCCCTCGCAGCTCCATTCCTGGGGACTCACTGACACCTCATGCTGCTGCTTAATAGAGGCAGCAGTATGGGGTGGCAGACAGGAGCTGGTCCATGAGGGCAGCCAGTTTAAAAACCAGCTCCCCATTGTCCTGCACTGCTGCTTTTGATAGAAGTGTTGGGGGAGGGGCAGGGAAGAGGGGGGCAGCATCACATAGCTTATGTGGGGAGGTGGTACCAGCTTTTAAGCCAGCTCCCCCAGCACTGACTTCTGCCCCCCTTATCCCTGCTGCTGCCTCCATAGGAGGCAGCAAGGGGAGAGGGGAGAAGGTGCATCCAGGAGAAGAGCCTGCTTGAAAGTTGGCTTCCCACACATTGACTCCAGCCTGCCCCTCCCCCACCTTCCAAGTTGCTGCCACTATCTCCGATGGAGAGGCAGCAAGGGGTGTGCATGGAAAAGAGGGAATACATGCAGTAGACAGGATTAACCAATAAGATTAGGGTCACTGGTTAATTGTGTAGTCTGCTACATTTTGCCATCCCTAGTCTGTCATCTTAATTACTCTAGCCCCAGAAAATGGTTGTAGTTATGTCATCAGGAGAAACTTGGCATAAGTTATGTTGGAGGGGCGAGGGCAAGAAGGGCACTAATTCGCAACCATTAGTGACATAACTGACAACTAAGCTGTAGTGGAGCCATAGCCTAGGCTAGGCATCCATACTGAAGCATCTAAATAAGATGCCTGATTTTTAAGAGTGTTAAGCTCTCATCAACTTTGTTCTTGCTGTGCCCTGCCCCCAATGGAAAGTGTCAGATCACTTGTTTAGAAGCCTAACTTTAGACCTTCTTTTGCTTCCCTGAAAGGTCAAAATTTTCAGATGTTACATACATCTGAAAAGCTCTTGCTTACATCCCTAATAAGGGTTTCCATTGTAACTAGTGATGCAGCTAGTTGCTCCCCCTCATTCCCAACCTTGCTGCCTCTATCAGGGGAGCAGGACCTGGTTCTGGGGGGAGCCCACTTAACAGTCACCTCCCCACACCCACCATCTACGCAAGGGGAGGTAGAGGTACAGTGGGAAACAGAAAAAGCAACGACTCCACTCCTGCCAGTTCTGCTGTATTTCTGCTTTTGCCAGGGGTCTTGTACATTTCAAAGGCTGAGGCACCCACATACAAGAGGTTGGCAGGGCTCTTGCTACAGTACAAAGGCAGAGTACACCCCTGTCGATTAATCAAATGGTTGATGGAATCCCACTATTTGATTAGTTAATTGAAATTTAACATGACTAACCCTCACTTGTCATAATTACATCTAAAAATTGCAAGTTTGAAAAGAGCCATAGGACATAATGCTGGAAGGGTTAAAAACCCATGCACCACAGGTTAAATGCTACTGATACCAATGCAACTAGGCTACAGGTTGACACAGAAACAACTTGCAGCCTAGCTAAGTTAGAAATAAGTTAATAGAACTTGTGCAAGATGGTGAAATTAAGTTTCTTGGCTTTAGGTGTGATTTTCAAGCTAATCCTTCAATTTTTACAGGCAAAATTTAATATCCACAATTAACAGCGCCTAATATTCATCCAGGAAGGAGCAACATTGTGGGAATAGATCTGTTGGTGCCAAAACACTCAAGTAGGACTCATCCAACTTGAAAGATCTACCCTTGACCTACTGCTACCTAGCTCCTTAAACACTCCCCTCCCTCCACCACCACACACACAAGAAAGCAAAGTTCCTCATTAAAAAGACTTAAATGGGCCATGTGTTGAGTGGCCTTGGGCTGTTTGCAGCCTGTGGTGCAGTTTGGACTTACACAGGACTCACAAGGCCTGCAGGTGGGATCCTTGTACTGAAAGGTGCAAGCGGATGGGCTGGCTGGAGCAGATGGGTACCAGGTGTTGGAGTTTCTAGCCCCCAGGGAGGAGGTGCTAGGAGCATCGGGGCATTGTGGGGAGTGCTAGCTGCTTAGCCTTGTGGACAGAGCCTGAGAGGTACAAACTGGCTCACACTGGCCACGTTTTGGTCAGGTGCTGCAGCTTAAAGCTTAATCTTTGTATTCATGCCTATCAGTGTGAAAGAAGCTATTTCCATATATATGCAACCACACTTAAGTTGTGACCCTTGGCATGTGCCGTGAGTGTCATGGTGGCCTCCAGGGCTTCCAAAGTTGAGTAGCCTGATCTTAGCCAGTGACAAATATGCATAGGAAAAGTGACCTATCCTGTCTTTCTCCATCATATGCAAGGTCAACTACCTGTTCTCACATCTAAGGACCCTCATCTCAGACGATTGGCTCATGATGCCACCCTTTGAAGTTCTGCTCAAATAGAGTTAAGCAAGTGAAAAGAACTGTGTCACTGCAGGATCAGATAAAGCTGACCCCTCAAGTGTGGTGTGGCAGGGCAGGGAGAACTTCCAGTCCTGACAGGGCAGACCAGAAATCTGTAGCCAGGCCTGTGAGGAGGCAAATGACGACAACAGCCCTCCAAATAGAGATGCTAAAGATTAACCAAGTAGCATCACCCTTAACAGGTGATGTAACCAGTTCCAGTTAACCATTAAGGGCTGGAGTAGCTTCCCCACCTGCCATGGACAGGAGCTGCTCTGTCATCACAGACTCCTTTCAGATCCCTCATCAACTGCATAGTGTCAGCACAGGCCTCCCTCACATATCCTAAAACTGAGTGGATGCCTTAAGTTACACCAACACTAGCACTGCAAACAGTTGTGAGATGGCTTGAGCTACCAGGCAGAGGCAAACAGAGGCAGATTTCCATCTCCATCCCCAGCAAGCTCGAGAGGCAATTCCCTGGTGAGAAACCCAGATCCCACAGTCGTGTAACGATGGGCTTTCTACAAAGCTATAGTTAAGGTTTCCAAAGTGATTTTCCACATTTAACAAAAAAAATTCCGTTTTTCCATCTCTGATTAACAGATCTTTTACAAAGTTATGCCTATCTTGTTACACTGGTGCATCATCACCCCTTTAGTTACACTGATGCAATGTTAGTGTTCACAAGTCTTAAATCATAAGCCTAGCTCTAAACTGCTGAAGGGGAAGAAGAGGTCTCTTGCAAGGGGCGAGGGCCTCTACTATTTTGCCTATACCCTTGGAGCTTTCTCTCCTCTGATGAGCTCCAGTGCATGTCTCTGCTGGTGGTCAGATTTCCCAAGCAGAAGCAAAACACATTTGAAATCTTCAGTTTCACTGCTACCTACTGGGCTCTGAACAGACACCATGCTAAAGCTATGCTAGCATCACTCTGATGCTCGGCAAAGCTGAGAGCAGCAACTCTGCATCCAACAACTCACTAAAAAAAAGTCACACTGATGAGCATTTGTATTTGGGAGGATCTCTTAATTAGTCTAAGGTGTTAGACCATCCAAAAATAATCTTCAATACTAAAGATAATAGGATAGGTCTCTGTACTTACCTTGCAGATTTCCCACTTAGTAACCAGTTAAGTTTCTCAAGCCCTACATGGAATAATAATACCCTTCATCTTGAACAAAAGAACCATATCCCCCCCCCCCCAAACACATTTAGTACTATAGTATAGTCAGCATTAACAAACAGGAGACTATCTAACAAGAACATGCCCTGAGAGGCCTCAGTTAGGAGAGCAGCAAACTCTTTAAAAGCTGGGCACTCAACATACACAGAGACTATATTTTATACTACTTACAGAGTAAAACAATAGAATAATCATGAAAGACCAACAAATTCTACAGAAAATGCATTACTCAAACCAAATCAGAGACTCTGCTACAACTGCAACCATAACTGGCCAATGAAGGCTGAAATCAGGACAAACCCAGTACAGCACAGACAAGCCTTAGCTCTAATATAAGCAGGATAGATATACTTAATTCAGAACTTACCATCTCTTTTAATGCCTATTCAGACTCCCAAACTGCAGCAGCCAGTGAGTCCTAGAAGAGATAAAAACATGTATGTCTATTTCCTGAAAATACTATTTAACTTCTGTGTTTATATAGCCCCAAATCCCTTCTGAGTGGCACCAACCAAATCAGGTGATACTGTTTAGCTTTTCTGATTGGTTAGTTTGAATTCTTCTGAACTAGCAGCCCTACCTTTAACCACCTTAATCAAAGTGAGCTTCCTTGATTGAATTAGAAGGTTCTTCTCTTTCGTTGCTTCCTTTTAAAGAGTTTTTAATTATTTAATTACGCCATGAAATATTCAGGCCAATTTACACAACAGTTGAGTTCAATTAATTCTCCCCAACTCTGCTCAACCCAACCCTTTTAGATTACATTTAACCTTTTCTGTCCCATTTTCATTAAAAAAAACCCTGTAAACAAAAGAGAAAAATCACATAAATTCATGAGAACACCCTTTCTCCTTCTCACTGGACACATATTTGTCAGTGACAGGGAACGCATGGAAGGTTTCAAATATTTGATGTCACTGTGAGCTAAAGGGCATATAAAAGGAACTGGTTCATTTGTAGGCACACTTTGATCTCCACTTCTCTTCCAAAAGGTGTGAAACACTTCTTATGTGAATTTGGTCCCTAAATGTTTTCATTTTCTTTAGCTAGATTCCCTCAATTTAATGAAAGGTTAGAAGAAAAGCATGCCAGCAATGTTTAGACAGGTGGTGAAAATAGTTTAACTGCAAGGATAGGTTGGGACAGATGAAACCCAGAGCCCATCTCAAGTTATTCTCCGTTCCTCCTATGTCTTCTGTAAAGATGAAAGTAAACATTAAACTTTTAGAAAAATCATTCAGCTATTTGCATGTTTTCCCCCATGGAAAACACTCTCTTGTATAAAAGAGAGTGTTTTCCATGGGGGAAAGCTGGGACCAACACATCTTAGCTAGTTGGGAAAAGGGTTCATCCTCATGTGATACACATTCATCATCCAATTCTTTCCAAATGCACAACAGGAATATTTAATAAATATTTCTACCTTTTTGAAATCATTATTAACAATTTTACCATCAATATACAGTGATGGGCCTACACCATTGCTACAATTTATTTTGCTTATAATGCTGTTAATAATACTACCTTATTGTCCATTGCTTGCCATCCATGGATTTTTTTTCCTGATGTCTTTTGCTTCCCTTATCAATTTTCTGCACTTCATAACTTCCAAATTATACTTATTGGTGTCTACCTTCTGCTTTACCTTCATTTTATATATCTATTTTCTTTTCTAGTTCCTGCCTTCACTTTTCCTCTTAACCAAGATTACCTTGCAGTGGATGCAAATCCTCTCGTCAGAAAGGCATCTATAATTTTTAAAGACTCTAATAATGTTTTACTACTGGCTGCAGAAGATCTTCAGTATGTCACTCAGACTGAAGTCTTCCATAGTAACAATTTTTCTTTCCATCTTACAGTTAGGTGTTTAAGGAACAACTTGTTCTGGTTTCTAGTTTGATTCAGACATTCGTAACAGACTCTCCCCCATGCTGTACTTCGTTAGTACAGTAATCTGTATGCCATATCCGTTTAATCTGGCCTCCCTTAGTTTAGGCTTGCCCCCCCAAAGTTGCAGTAAATTGGTGCACCTCTGTGTACATATGAGGTCTTTGTACCTTAGAGCAGTGGTTTTCAAACTTAGGGTCTTGACCCATTACTGGGTCATGGAATGTCACACACTAGGTCTCCTTGCTGCAGGGTGATCAGATAATCAGTGGGGATGCTAAGGCAGGCTACTTGCCTCTCCTGGCACCACAGACTGCAGTGCGCCCCTAGGTGGGTGGCGGGAGGGAGAGTGCTCCAGGTACTGCTACTTCCCCGAGCACTAGGTCCACACTTCCATTGGCTAGGAACCTGCTGCTGGCTGCTTCTGGGTCACAGCATGGTCTGCAGTGCCAGGAGAAGCAGGAAGCCTGCTTTAGCACCCCCGCTGCATCGCTGACCAGGATAAGCCGCTCCTGCCACAGCCATGACCCCACCCCCCAAGCTGGAGCCCCCTTCTAAGGCCCAAAGCTCTCATCCTCAGCCCCACCCCGGAGCTCACACTCCAATCAAATTATGTTGGATCGAAGGCATCAACAATTTTTTTCAACTGGGTCATGAGAAAAAAAGTTTGAAAACCGCTGCCTTAGAGTAGCTCTAATAATGTAACATGCTCAGGCATGGCTGGAAATGGCAGCTGGAGCCAGACAGCTATTTATGCTTGGGCCTCCCAAAGTTGCTCTCACTAGGGAGCTAAAGGGTTAGCAATGGGGACCATAAAAAAAATATTTTACTTTAGATCGGTGTTTCTCGGCTTGTGGGTCAGAACCCCTGGGGAACATGAAAGGCAGCTGGGTGGTTGAGAGGTGTTGGAAATTTTATTACAGTCTAAAGCAAAGAAAAATCTTGTTCCCAGCACACCCTGACCCACCCAGCTCCGGTATTTTCCGTCATTCTCTCAAAATCCTTGCACCAATCAATGATAATTTTTTTTACTCTTACTATTATAGTAAACATCAGGGGACGAAGTCTTCTTCTTTTCTAAACTTCAAATAAGTGATTGCCAGTCTGAAAAGACTGAGAAACACAGGTGCTGAGATGTTTCAAGGCCCAAGCACAGTCTGTATTAGGGATGTGACAGGTTAACCGATGAGGGCTGGAGCAGCTCTCTGCCTGCTGGAGGCAGGAGATTGCTCCAGCCCCATGAGGCCTACCCTAGGCAAGGACTGTTCCAGCTCAGCCACAATGGGTAGAAGGTGGGGAAGGCCCACCTAAATTTGGCTGTGATGCATGGGGGACAGCCCCTGCCCAACCACCCTTTAATCATTTAGTTGGTTAAACATTAGGTTAAACTGGTTAACCAATTAAATGGGATTTTATATCTCTACTCTGGATAGCTGTAAGTGACAAAACAAAGAGCAAGGCAATGGGGGAAAAAAGAAGATAGTTTATACTGACTAGGGATCTAAATGGTTAACAGGTAAGCCTCATCTTTAATGGGTCAGGCTTACTGGTTCTGGTTAACCAGTAGGGACTGCAGCAGCTCCCCGCCCGCCCTGAGCAGGGGGTTGCTCCAGCCTCACAGGGCCTACCACAGGGGGGTTGTCCGGGTGGGAAAGCCAAAGCAGCCCCTGTTTATGGCTGATCCCCCGCTCCGCCGGTTACACGCTAACCGGGGAGGCTTCACTGCAGAATCTGCAATATAAAACTTATTTAACCTTTATACTGCAGAGCCTGCGGTGTATGTAACCTAGGGGTGGGCAAAAGGGTCTCTGTGGGCTGGATCCGGCCTGCCACGTGGGTTGATCCAGCCCGCGGAGGTCCAATCAGGGCCTAGGGACACAGAAGCATGCGATGCTTAGCGTCAACCCTGGTGCTGAATCTAAGCACAGCGCGCTGGATATCAGGGAGCGAGAGACTTCACACTCCTCCCGCCCTTGCAGGATGGGGGCAGGGCGGAAGGAGACTTTGCGCACTCCCCTCACTCCCAAGCTCTGATTGGCCTGGGGGTGGTAGAGAGCAGAAAGCCCCCCCGTGCTCCCCCATGCCCAGACTAATTAGGGTCTGTGGGAGGGCATGCATAGAAGTGTCCTGGCCCCACCTCCTTCTGCCTGAGACCCCACCCCTTCTGGGTGGTCTGGGGCCACTTCAAAGATTTCTGAGGTGGCCCCAAGTCAAAAACTATTGCTCACCCATGGTGTAACAGCTAGGATTTTTAGCAGTTACACGGTTACATTTTAAAACAACTTGTTACATCCCTAATAACGACCATATTTATGAATAAGAGTTAACCTCCTTTCTATCTTCTCCAAATATTATAAAGAAAAGATAAATCATCACGGGGGGGTAGGATGGCAAAGTCTTGTGCTGGATTACAAACTCTGCTCTCCTGCAGACCTCAGTTAATAGGCCTACACAGGAGTCGGGAGGTTTGATTCCCAGCATGGGTAGACAAATCATGCTAGTTCAGCTTGAGCTAACACACTAAAACAGCAGTGCGGACATTGTACAACTACTGACAGCTCTCACTAGCCAATGAGTCCAAACCCCTGGGTTTGAATTCAGGTGGCTAGCCTGAGCTCTTACCACATTTGCACCATTCACACTACTGTTTCTAGCATGAGCCTGTCTACCTGTGCTGAGAATCATGGCACTCATGCCCAATAAAGTTTTTGAGCAAAACCAACCTCTTTTACTTGAGTTTTGCACCACTTCCTCTGATTTTTTATATATTTTCAATGTAAAATTCAATATAAGTGGTTAAGGCATTTATTTTATTTATTCTTCATTTTTGTTTTAGACCATCTGATGGAAAAGAATGCAACAAAATGAAAGCGAAGTGGTCAAAATGGATCTAATCTTGTGTTCCCAATGCATGATTCCAATGAGAGTTACGTGTGAGCGCATCACTGGAGGGGGGTTATTGCATGTTGGGTGGTCTGTTATCGTGTAAATGAAAGACATATGACAGATGCTGTCATTCTAGCTGCGGCATGTCATTGTCACCTCTCACTTGCCTCTGATTTTGCTGACATGAATGCACTATGCTTGCAAGTACTGCAATTCTTGCTATTTCCTTTTTGGAATCTGCTTGCTGAGAGTAAACATGGCTTGGTAAAGTGTCCTCCATAGGAATTGTGTCTCATTAATTTATATGTCTGATACACAATATACCTGGTATATTTTTTTCTGGAAATAATCACTTACATATTTATGATCTTAGTAGGAATGTAAAGGTTTAACCAGTTAACTGGTTACCTAGTAAACATTGCTTTACTGGCATACTTACCAGGGTAGCCAATTAACCAGTGCCCAAGCCCTGCAGCCCCAGCCTGCAGCATGCCATGGGAAGGGGGCTGATCCAGTGTAGCTTGGCCCACCGCACTGTGCTGTAGGCAGTCAATCTGTTAAACCTGTAGTTTAACATGTAACTTGGGATTTAACATGTAACTTGGGATCCCTGGCTCTTAGTGCCTGGTATTTCTTTGAAATACA